CAAAGGTTCACAAAGCCAGAAAGACTCCTTTCGGGCCGCGAAGCGCCTCAAAGCCACTGGCCCAGCCCAAGAGCGCCTTTCGGTCCATGCTTTTTCTCCTGGCTGGCTCCAACACATACTACTCTGCTCATTGCGCGGACGTGGTAGCGAGCGCTGGCCTCCATCATAAACCAATGTCCGAGGCCGACTTCGTTGCGGCAATGACATCGGCTCCAGGGGTGTGTAGGGGGGTCTGAGGGGTCTAGGGAGGTTGAGGGGTGTAGGGGGGTCTAGTAGTCTAGGGGTGTCTAGGGGTGTCTAGGGGTGTCTAGGGGGGTCGAGGGGGTGGGTCTAGGTGGGTCTATCGTGGAGTCCAAGAAGACATGGCCGAATTTGTGGTCCGGGTTCTCTCGGTCGTTGCCACCAGAGGCTTTCCTGACTTTGCAAGTGCCGCTGACGACAACAACCTCGAGCGTGCAACAAGCTCTCGACAACTACCTGGCGACCGAGTGCGTGCAAGCATATGTGGAAGAGTGGTTCTGCGTGAATGACGTCTGTCTGGACTCTGGCCTTGCGGAAGAAGACCCGCTCCACGTCACGAGCATCAACAAGTGGCCTGACGTACTGCTTCTTTGCGTGAAGCGCTGGGATGCCTTGCGCGGATTGATTGCTCATCAAATCCATTGCAGCACGACCCTCTCCGCCGGCGGCAATGAGTACAGCTTGCAGGCCTTGGCTACTCACATCGGTGCCACACCTTCATCCGGACATTATGTGGCCTACCAGCGTCGAGGCGCCGGCTTCGTTCAGCTCAACGATCACATGGTCTCGCCGCTGAAGACCCAGGATGAGGACTTCTTCGTGACCATGCCTGACGAGAAGGTTTACATGTTGGCCTACGTAAAGAATTCTGCGGGAACTCGTTCCACAGCACCGGTTGCTATGCCCAAGTTCAATTGTAAGCCTCCTCCGGCTCCTCCGGGCGCAGACGCGGCAGCCATCGACCTGGACTCCGACACGGACTCCGACGTTGTGACAGTGTTCGCCACCCAACCTACTTCGAAGCGAAGAATCATAGACCTCGACTCCGACTCGGACAAGGATGCGCACAGATCCCAGAAACAACAAGGAGGCCGCACGCGTCTGCGAGGCTTGCAGCACTACACGGACGCAGAGCTCATGACGATCGCGGCGGCAATCCGGAACAGCACGAGTTTCTCGCAAGTCTTACAGACATTGAAGATGAAAATGCCGAAGCTAAACCTGGAAGACAAGAGCTCGACAAATTACCTCAGCCCCTACACGCTTCGCAAGTGGATTCGGAAGCCACAGAACATGGAGACGGCAATTGCAAGAGTGCGGCAGGAACGGCTGCAGCAACCTACAGAAGAACGCAAGCCTGCGGTCGGAAGTGTGCGGAAGACGCTCACCAATGAACACCGCAAGATAATCGGAGATGCGCTCCACTGCGCGAGCTCCTGGCCTCATCTGCTTGCAATTCTGACAGAAAGTCTTCCAGGATTAAGCTGCAACGACAAAACGGCATCCTGCTATATCCCACACTCCACCCTGCACGGTTGGCTCGATAAAAGAAGTGTGTCGCGTTGGTTCAGTGAGCCTGAGCCAACGACTTGGTCAGAAGAGCATGAGCAAAACTTCAGCGTTGCTTTCGATAGACCTGCCAAAAGGCAGCTTGGATCGACAGCTGTGAGCGACGTCAATGGCCTCTGGTTGCGCAACGGATTCTGGGTGTTCTGTCCTGCCTGTGGCCGTCGTCACGCTCGGGTTCACACCGACAAATTCTCTCTGAAGGAGTATGCGGCGTCCTCTCAAGAAAGCCCGTGAAAGACTTCGAGCTTACGTGACACCACAGGTGGACACTTGGCGGCCATGGTGCCAGGATATTGCCAACGGCAACCTGCCTTTGACAACATTACTGACAAAGCAAGACCTTCAAGACCTCGCAGTGCTTGACATCCATGTGGACTATCGATCTAGACGAGGTGGCCACGCTGTTATCCAAAGCAAGCAAAAACGATCCGTAGTTCGTTGTCGCTGGCATGCTTCTCCACTACGCGACCTTGCACGCAACAACAACGCAGCCCGGGCTTTCACATGGTTGCTTCAGAACAACGACACCTACAAAGGATTCGTTGACAAGCACGCCGCCCTCACCCAGGAGCGTGGAAAGGAATTCTGCCGAGACGTTCCTACGGCTGCGCTCTTGCTGGGCTCACCTGGCATAGAAGTCGCTGTGCGTCCCTGGCTCTACCCATTAGCAAGCTTTGCAGATAGCGACCTGCAACAGCGCCTATGCCCCCTTGGCTGGACGGACAACAACAGCAAGCCGAGCATCCGAGCAGGGTTCATGAGGAAATTGCTGAGTCGTTGTTTGGACTACTCGCGAGATTTCCCACTCCAGTGTTTGGTGTATGACACTTGCATCGCGCGAACGATAAGTTCGGTGCAAAGCATAGCCGATCAAAAGAAAGTGTCTCCCGAGCAAATAGCATCAGACATGGATGCATTTGATGCATATTGGTCCCAGCAACTGCGCAAGATGGAAGACATCTGCAGGCAGGAGTGGGAAAAGACCGGCGTGCTCGAACGTGCTTTGCCGTCCGTGTTCTTCACAGTGGCACCAGCTGAGTGGCGACACATATTGCACGACGGCATGTTCTGCGAGGAATCCTTGACCGACCAGCAAGGTACGATCACCCTTCACCTCTATCACACTCTGCAGACGCTATTAGACGTTCACCTCTTCAAAAATGGGCAGAGCCTTGAGCGCATCGGCGTCGCCAAGATTCGGCAGTGGTCTTTCCGCTTCGAGTTTCAGTCCCGGGGCACATTGCATCTTCATGCTGTCCTGTGGGCAGACCTACTACCAGGTTGGAGCGCAGAGAACATCACTGGAAGAACAGGTACCCAGCACGACTCACCCTTCGTGGCCCTGCTCGAAGACCTTTTCAAGAGTCGTGCAGATGTCCAGTGCGGGGACGGCAGCCACAACCTGCTGATGTACGTGGCCGGGTACCTCCAGAACTCAGGCGCAAACGAGCAGATGGCGCCAAACATACCGATTGCTTTGCAAGAAATCGCCAATGGAGCAAGAAATCATTATGGAGTTCGCCGGCCTGCCCATGGTGAAGCATTCCTTTACCGGACACGCCTTGTTCGCGCCCATTCCAGGAAGTAAGGCGGCAAACAGCTCCCGCGATCAGTACTCAATCTACCAGTTCTACCTCACACAGGATCATGAAGTTCGCGGATGCGCACGCGGAATGAGCTACACGCAGTGGCTTCGACGGTTTCGCGTCGTCGACGTCAAGAAGAAGATCGTCGCCAACAGAAACCAAGCCCCATTCCTGAAGAATTGTTCCTGTGGCATTGTCATGACCTTCCCATTCGCTCTTCTGGACATTTTCATTGGAGCTTGGGCCGCAACCTTTATGGAAGGCATGGCGGAGTATAGATTGTTGCCCGACACCACAGACGACAACGCCAATTACAGCATGGAGTTTCTGGCAGAACGCACACGCCGAGCCTCCTTCCAGGCACCACAAGGCTGCCAGCATCTGAAAGCAATTTTGTGTCTGGATGAGTTTCAGGTTGAAGGCGCTAACCCAGAGGTCTTCCACCCTGAAGTCGGCAAACTCCTGACGCAGATGGAGACGGAACTCATTTTCCGTGGCATCGGCAGCGATCGCACGGCCACCTTCAAGGCCAGAGTCCACGCTTGCGCAATGCTCCTGCTCAGTGTACGAGATGGCCGGGAAGATCCGATGACGTGGACAGCTCGACCAATTGCTGCGCCTCCGCAGCGCAACTGGTCAGTCGAGCAGCAACAAGTCCTGACGTTCATACGGTCAGGAACGAGCATTAGCGACGCCGCAGCCATGGAGACTTCGAGCCGACTCCTACAGGTCAGCGGCGGGCCTGGCACGGGCAAGACGGAAGTTATCATTGCTGCGGCGCGACAAGCTCTTGATGACGGTTGTCGGGTCCTGATAGCCGGGCCCATCGGGTTGTTGGTCTCCATGTACAGACTTCGCCTGCCCAACTCGGAGAACCTCACCATGGAAACAATCCACGCTGCCTTCCGCATCGTTCGCGATGCCGACGCAGCCTACATCCCGCCAGGACGCCTTCGCCAGTACGACTTGATCATATTTGACGAAATCAGCCAAGTGGAAGCATCAACATGGGAAAAACTCAAAACGGCACTCGGTGAGCTCTCCCCATGCCCCTTCGTGGTGTTCGTCGGCGACTTTCAGCAGCTACAGCCTCTCGCCGGTGGACCCGCTTTACAGCAAGACCTGCATCGCCAAGTCGAAGCTAAAGAGTTGCCGCTCGTGGAACTTCACCATCACGAAGCTGCTCGTTCGGTGGACCCCGACATGCTGGCGTTTCTTGAGGTCGCTCGGGTTAGCCAGCCTTCAAGGAGCGCTCTCGAGCACTTTTTCCGCGGGCGGGTGTGGTCTTCCGATGTTCAACAAGCAGCGCAGGCCGCTGAGCGAGTGGAAAACGCTGGCGGTGGCATTTTCACCTTCCTCGCTGTGACGAACCGCGGGGCCGCCAGTCTCAACCTTGCACGCCTTGCTCTGGAGTTTGCGTCCGAGGCCGAAATCATCCGCAACGGCGGGGGCGTGCCTGCCGAGGTGGGCAATGTAGTCATTGCTCCCCGTATGCGACTTCGCCTCACCCATAACGTCGACAAGGACCGGGGCTTTGTGAACGGGAATACGGGCATTGTCTGCACTGTTCTCCGAAAAGATGTTTTCGTGCTGGACAGCGCCCAGGGCATCCCTATCCTGGTGCATCCAATTACCCAGAAGGGGCGCAAGTTCCTCCCAGTGGCGTATGGATGGGCGACGACAATGCGAAGAGCGCAGGGAGCAACACTAGACAAAGTCGGCCTATGGTTCGACAGGCGCCTGCCCGACCGCGGCTATGCCTATGTCGGACTGTCTCGCGCCAAGCGACGAGAGGATGTGTTCCTCGTAGGCAGAGTCAGACGCACAGATTGGCGACCGGTCAACGGTGCCGACGACAATGAGCAGAATACGGTGTCTGCCCTCAGCGAGACCTCTGACTCGGAGGATGAAAGAAGCACCGACAGCTCCGACAGTTCCTTTGGGCCAGGTTCCTCGGATGTCATGTCTGCCAGCAGCGAGCAAGCATCAAATTCCAGCTCCTGAGACTAGCTTGTTCCAGGCGCTGTACAGACAAAATTGGATTTCTTGATTCTTACAGATCGTCTGGTTGAGGTCCCCATCCTCCAACTCAGGCTTGTTTGAATGAGAGTGTGTACAGACAGCAATTTCAACAAACGCCGACACATGGATCGGCAGTCGTTGTGCGCATGTCGACGAGGGGTGAGTTCCTTTTGCAAATTTGATGGCGCCATGGTTCCGTGTGCAAGACACGGCCGCCACGCCGAGGTACTTCCGCGCGAATGCTTCGTGCGTAGAAAGAAACTGGCAAAGTAGCTGCTTCCACTTCTGGTGTATTCCAACTGAAAAGATCAGTTTCGCATTGCCACAAGTCAGACCGACAGAAGCAGCATGCAGGCTTGGGCTGGCTTTTCAGCTTCGACTTGCACATAACATTCAAGCCGATCTCAGGTGAAGAACATCTGCATCGCAACATCCTGGCCTCGGCTCTGGTGAATGTACAGATTGCGTGCGCCGAATCAAAACTTGTTCTACTGATGGTTCCCCAACCCACCCTCGATCCACTCACCGGCACAAAATACCCGATCTCAGGTGAAGAACATCGGACTCAGACGTTATTCTAGGTTCCCGCAGCCACACTCGATCCACTCGCCCGCACAAAACTCCCGATCTCAGGTCAAGAACATAGCATCGCAATGTCCTGCCCTCAGCTCTGATCAATGTACACATTGCGTATGCCGAAGTTGCTCTACTGAGAATTGCCCAACCCACCCTTGATCCAATGTCCATGGGTCTGGCCCTGGGAGAGCCCTTCGTGGGATAAGGTCTGGCCCGGAGAGGACCCTTCGTGGGATACGGTCTGGCTCGGGGAGGGACCTTTGTGGGATAAGGTCTGGGCCCGTCGTGGGATAAGGTTCGGCCTTGGGAGGGCCCTTCGTGGG